CCTCAGCATAAAATAGCAGGAAGGGAGTCTCTGAGATTCCAAGGTGTCTCTCCCGAGTGTCTATCTTTTGTGCTTTCTCATGATGCTTTGTTGCTGTTCTTTTGGCCCAGAAGCAGCTGCTGGATTTTTAAAATACCAGTATGCTGTAGTGAATGGGCTATCTATCTTAGGCTCTTTCCCTAGTGGTATTTTTGAGTGGTACCACAACGGTTTGACAACCCCAAAGTTCCCCCATGAGATTGTGATACTGAAGCTCATGATTTTGTTAGAATTATATCATCACCTTGTATCCCGGAATAAAACTAGTTTTCCTCTTAATCTGACTGTCCCAGCATAGCTTTAAGATATATAATATTTATGGAGTTTCACAACACATTATCCTAGAGGTAACCTCTGGTGATGTACTGCAGATGTGACCAGATGTGGACTGGATGTGTGTGAGAAATGTGAGCAGCCCCCCCCCTCCACTGTTTTGCCTCACAGTATTTGCTTTTTCCATTCATCAGCATTTTGCTTTCTAAATTCTTTTCAGACCTGTCACTCCCTGCTCCCTATTTTCAAAATCAACTTCTCTCCAGGCTTCCAACCAGAGAGAAGAAAGCAGAGCACAGCTTCACTACTTTATTTGGGAAAGAAAAGAATGTATTTGTGTTATTTGCACAATTCCTAAATGGCATCAGTGTTAATTCTGCAGGTCTGATTTTCCTCCCTGCAATAACCTAAAAATAATGAGGGATGTCAAATTCGACTTCTGTTGATTGCCAGTTTTTCTGTATCTGTCACTTTCCATTACTTTTCCCCAATGAAGAGGCAAGATTGCTACTTTCAGTAATTCAGCTCTACACAGCTATAGCAGAGTCTGCCTTCCTCCTCTCTGTGGCTATTTCTGACCTGGTTTCTGTGTTTCTAATTACACCCATCTGGATTAGAATCTGTCTGACACTGCTCAGTAATTTGAACAAGTGTCAAACACATGTTTATGCTCAGAAGTTCCCATCATAAGTTTCTTCATGTCACATTATTTTAATGAGATGTAGGCAAAGGGGGCCAACAAGCCAATCTACAGAAATAGAGATAAAAACCTGAAATTACAGAATTGTGTAATGACATTCCATCCATCCAATTCATTCTACTCCAGTTGATGTGCCAAAGCAAGACAGCAGTGAAGCCAGATGAGAAAAACAATCACCATTCCTGTAAAGACTGATACACTCAGATCAGGACAATACAGTCTGGCAGAGAGTCACAACAGGGACAGAATATAAATTGGTAGTGTGGATAGCCATTATTATGGAGGCATTTATGAGGGAGGGGTGAATTATGTTTTAAACATAATCCACCCCTCCCTCATAGATAGGAAATGGGCTTAGACTAGGACTATGATTTAGGCTTAAAGCTTCTCAACTTAATCTGCCGAGACTGATGTGCCAGACACTTCAAACTTCATATATGAATGTGTTTTGAACGAAAGGCCAGACTAGGATAAAAGGAAGCAGGTTCAAATTCCCAATTAGTTATAGAGCTCACTGAGAGAGCTTTGGCCAGTAATTCTCTCTTAACCAAACTTATCTCACTGTGTTATTGTACAAATTAAATGAAAAAGGCCTTGTGTGCTACTCTGATCTCCGTGAAGGAAAAATCGGATAAAAGGCTTGTTTGACTTCCATCTGCTACTTAATAATCTTAGCTCGTTCTGTTGCTAGCCAACCGAAACACCTTTCTTTTTTTATTTTAACTCTTGACTTGAGTTAATGTTAAGAGGCATTGATGTGTCATTACAGAAGGTTGTAAATCTGATATTCTAAATCTTCATTGTTGGTTAAGCATTTCTTTTCCAGTTGTTCATTATCAACCAAGGTCATATCAATGTCCTATAAATCTTCTTTAATGAATGTTAAGAATGCTTACCTAATGCTTTCCGAATAGTGTAATGTCTTAGCTAACACATATTACAAAACCTGAGAATTATGCCAAAAATGAACAGTCAGTGGTACAAATAATTTTTTGCAAGGTTTTGCCACAGAAGTATCAGTATTTTACTTAAATATCCAACTAACTTATAGCAGCTAATTGGCACTAAAGTTCTTTCTCCAGTTTTGCTATATAACCTAATTTTATTTATCTATCTATCTATCTATCTATCTATCTATCTATCTATCTATCTATCTATCTATCTATCTATCT